GTCCCAGCTATAAGGGAGGCTGAGGCAAGAGAATTGCTTGAGTCCAAGAGTTTGAGGTTGCTGTAAGCTGTGACTCCATGACACTGTACTGAGGGTGACGTAGTAAAACTCAGTCTCAAAAAAAAAAAAAAAGGAAAAGAAAAAGAAAAGTGTAGTCTAACTCAGGAGGCTTTGCTTTGTAAGGTAGTGAGCTCTGACCCCAAGAGTTTTCAAGATGATACTTGGTGTTGGCTACTTGTCAGGAATACTCTATAGTTACCCTAGGGCTCTTCAGACTTCCCTGTATGTTCAGGTCATCTGGGGATCTTGTTAAAATGTAGGTTTTGATTCATTCCACCTGGGTGGGGTCTATGATTCTACATTTCCAGCCACTTCCTTGATGATGCTTCTATTCCTAATCAACAGACCTCACTCTTTGTAGCAAAGCTTTGTTGTAGTTTGCAAATGACACACAGTGAGACAGAGGAATACATTTGGGGAGAGCCAACAAGTTACCCAGGTAAGTCTCCACAGAGTGGAAGGTCTTTGATGCAGTCATGATCTACATCTTGGTTCTTAGCTTTGTAAGCTTTGAAATTTGATTGGTAGCATAATCAGAGCCTGGGCTCCTGGGGACCCATTCACATTAAAACAAATTCACAAGAGACCAATATGCAAGCCAGAATGCCAATTGATTAATTTATAATGAGAAGTATAACTTCCAAGTGGACCAGATACTAGTGTTTGCTGATCAGTGCATTATCTCCCTGTAGGCATATTTACATAAGGAGCTAAATGATAATAAGTAGGTTGCTTGGTGAGGATGGACCCAGAGCAAGAGGAGTTCATAGGATGATTTTAATGGCTCCTATTATCAAGCTATGAGAGTCTGATACTTCCATTCCACAATTGGGCTAGTCTTCCAGACTGGTTTTAGAAATGTTGGCCTCCCTACTAGTCTCTCTGCCACCATCTTGTCCTCATGCAATCCAGGTGATCTATGTAAGATCATATCATTCATTTGCTCCACTCACTTCAATATAAATTCACAGTTTAAAACTCAGTATTACAAACAGTTCAAATACCATATACAGAAAAGTTGTAAAAAAAGACATTATAATGAACACCCATATAACCAACAATTGTTATCATTTTGCCTTATTTGCTTTATGTATGTGTGTGCACACATCCATGTTTGTCATGGATACTGAACCCACACTCTTAAACACAATTAACTCTGCATGTCTGGAGCAATCTACCTGACTAGTTTCATTTCCCTTGGCTCCCCCTTTGCAGCTTACATCCCAGTCATACCTAACGACTGAATGCTAGTTCCCTAACTGTTCTTATTTATGTTTTCATATAATACACTATTGCCTATGCCTAAATATACTTACTCTCTTTGCTGGGGTAATTCTACCTGTTCTCTAAGATTCAGACACATCCATGTGGCCCTGGCACCCTATGCTTTTGTCAGTCATAACATTTACTACACTGTACTGTTACTGTCGGTTTACTTCTCTGTCCCACTGGACTATGAGCTCATTGAGGGCAAGGACTATTTCTTTTTTTTTTTTTTTTTGGCTGGGGCTGAGTTTGAACCCACCACCTCCAGCTTACTCCTTTGAGCTATAAGTGCTGCCTCACAAGGACTATTTCTTTTGTCTCTATGTACCACTGCCTCTCCACTGCTTGCACTTGGTAGGTGTTCAGTAATCAGAAAATCCAACTGCCGACCACCCAGCCCTACCTGGTTAGAGCATAACCTCAAAATCAACATATGAAAAGTGAACTTAGCTCTCCTCCCACCCACTCTACACATTTAAACCCCTCCTTTTGTATCCCCTGATTGGATGCCCTCCAGTCTTCTGAGCCAGAAACCTCAGAGCAATTCCAAAGTCCTTCTCTTTCTCTCATCTCCCAATCAAATCTTGTTGATTCTACTTTCAAAATACATTCTCATTCGACCCACTTACCGTCATCTTTACTGCACATCTGGTCCAGGCCACCTTCATCTCTCATCTGGAGCACCGCCACCAATCTCCTCTACCAGGGCCCCCTGCTGCTACTCTTGTCCCCTCTAATCTGTTATACGTGGAGAAACCATATTTATCTCTACATTTCAGATCTGATTATATTACTCCTTACTTAAACCCTGATTGTATTACTCCTTGATTTTGGATGAAGTCCAAACTCCTTAGCTTTAGCCAAAGGACTCTCAAGAACTGGTCCCTGTGTACCTCCCCGACTTACCTCTTATTATCCTCTTCTTATGCGCTAAGTTCCAACCACTTTGCACTTATAGGGCCTGTAGTAATGGTAGTTTCACAACATTTCCTGTTTCATACATCATTGACTTTCCTTGTGTTGTTCTCTGCCTGGAAAGGCTAACCATCTCAGACTCAGCACAGGTGTAACCTCCTCTGGGAAGCTCTCACTTACTTCCCAGTCTGGGATAGGGGCTTGTTCTCTGTTACCCACTACTGTCCTGTGCACACCTCTACCTTAGTGGTTACACTAAAGACATACCTCATCCAGTAGGGCAATTGTCATT